CTGTTTAATAGGCTAGGCCTTCTCCCCACCCCACCCTAAGAAAGGGGTTGTAAGGATGGAGCTGGCCCTGTGCTCTCATGTAAGTTTTGTGACAGTTTTCAGACACAGCCGCTGTGGTCCCTGTCTCGCAGCACATGATGTGACCCCGTGGCGGTCAGGCCAGCCCCTGACCCTGCAGCTGTCTTGTGATCACCAGCCCCTCACCTGCCCGTTCCTGCCCATTTGTTGTCCTGTCCGGTAAACTGGCCTGTTTCTCAGCGCAAAGCATCTCCTTTGCATTTGGGCAGCAAAGCTTTCAAAGTTCCTTTTCAAAAGGGATGAAAATGTTTTCCTGTCTTTCTCTATAAAGATTTCGATTGTGGAGCATGAGCTGCCTGCCTAGTTTGTCTCCAAACTTGTTTTACACATTTACTGTGGACTCTCTTCAGACCATGTTATGTTTACCACCCCTCTTCAAACAGACATTGAAGAACAATAAAGAAAGAGTTCCGGTCAGGCCTGGCAAGCCCAGCTTTGCTGGAACCTGTACAGACCCCAAACTGCACAACAGAGTGAGAGAGCTTATGCTTGTATGGAGATCCATCAAGTCCATTGCTGTGATGTGTATCAAAGAATAATAAGAATATTAAACTATGTGGAAGTCTAAGAGTGCAGAATAAAAGAGGATAAATTTATGCATAGAGTGATACAGCTTTAACGGACATGCTTTCATAGCCCTTTCCTCCGCCCACAAATACAGAAAATTCTGTTTCATAGCACCATGTTCAATGTTAGACTTGCTTACCAGAAATTCAGAACCATTTTTTTTAAAGCTTAAAATAAACCTCAGTGAGAGCACTTAGATTGTGTTTGAAAATCCCTTCTTAAATGTGGTCAGAGTACTCCTGCAAGTTTCAAATGCAATTCACTAGAAACTGATCAGCAAAACATCTGGGACAGACAAGGAGTGAAGTTATCCACTCTTGGCCTTTGAGGAGCAGAATTTCAGGTTCAGATTAATGAGGTCTGAATGCATGCAGGAAAAGCTGATGATTGTTACAAACAGTGCCTATAAGGTTGAGGTTGCCTCAGAAGTCACTAACACTTGTCAGGCCACAGCACCAGCTGCTGTCCCACTCACAGTGCTGGCACTAGCCCAGTGGTTACAAGGCTGGACGTATCTACCCTTGGAACATCCATTGGTGCATTTCAGCTCAGTCCTGCCCATATAGATACGCCTCAGATACGCATAAATGAACCTTGCGCCCTTGCTGAATCACTGAGTTTGTGAACTCAGCCTGACTTCACATCCCATGTGTGCTTGCACATAAACAATGCAGATATCAAGAAGTTTGGATCTGAGAAGTAAGATGTTACACAAATTATAGGTCAGCTTATGTACATCAGTTCCAGCCATCAGCTTGTAAGACTGAATACTGCTAATGGTGGATGAGAGAAAAATGGCACCTTGCAGTAAAACTGTTCTGTTAACATGTTTTAGTGTTTATTGATGTAAGATGCCAAGCAGCAAAGGCTGCTTCACAAATGTTCACAGACATTAGCATAAAGCATCCACTCACTCTTCATGTTTAACTTTTCCACCATTGGGCTCTATCAGTTTCCATTTGTATATCAAAAGATGAACACCCTCAGTTATCCTTGGATGTGTCTGCAACCTTCCGAGACTAAGCTGTTTGTGCTAGCCCTAGGTTCAGTGGTTCACTGAAGTGAAGGACAGCAGGTTTTAACATTTTCTAATGTCACTGGGCCATGCCCTGAAAAACACTAAGGTCTCAGCTCTCAGTGAGGGCAAGGGGAATTGGTGGCACTCAACATGACAAGGAATTTTGAATTCCTTATTTCTTTCTCTCCACTAGAACAAACATTTTTAAATAAGCTTCTCTCTCTGCTGAAGTGGGTGGAAAAAGTACATTCCTAAGGCAAGCTTACACAGAAATATTTGAAATTACAACAGCTGTTGAGCCACCATCACTTTTACAGTTTTCTCGTGAAACCTTTTAAATGCCTCTCTTGATAAGGAATAAAAATCTGTCACTCTTTGCTCTTATTCCAGAGTAGCAAGTCACTTTTATTTGTCGATAAAGCTGTCACACTTTCAGTGCCTTTTGCTAAAGCTCAGCTGAAGCTTCAATCTGAAGACATGCCTCTATTTCCAGATTTAATCATGACTGCTGTAGAAAGAGTCTTCTGTAAAACAAAGCAAGCCCAGTTAGTTATGAGTGTTTTTAAAGTTTCAGTTTTACATCCTTGCTATGTCATCACTCAGTTGAACAATATAAAAAACCACAATGCAAGTCAAATACTCCATGTAATTACCATGTACTTACTTTTATTTCAAGACTAGAGTCCTGTAATTCAAAAAATAGACAAACCTCCTATTTCTCACTTTGGTGCTTTCTCTCTTTAATTTACCAGGAGAGGAAAGTTTTACAGGGAGAAGTAATACCTCAATTACTGAACCAAGTAGAAGAAAGGACAGGTTGAGAACAACTGCTTTCAGTTTCGATTCATTAATTGGACTGAGAGGAAAAAATACTGCTTAGGAACTGAAAAGCAGATGGAGATATTTAGCAAAGATAGAAGTGTTGGGATTCGCAGCCTGTCTGGGACAGGGTTAACTTACATACTGCCTATGGATCAGTGCAAGCTTAACCGGAGGTATTGCATGGCATAATTATATCAATACTTCTACTGAATATGCAATTTTTACTATGGAGAAAAAATAGGGGGGAGAAGAGAAAAAGAGAAAAAAAACCTTCTTGTCTTCTGAAACTATTCTTTAAGTCTCCATTCAGTATTGGAGCAGACAGATCTGGGACAGAACATCTGTTCTGTGTAATCTTTTGTGGTGATCTCTGCTTACAGTAGGGAAGGTACTGCACTGTTCAACATAGCATAATTTGAGAGGCAATATACTTGTTAGTCTGAATCAAGAAACTGAAAACATACTGGCTCTGAAGCAACACTTGCTTCATGCAACCTCATGGAAACCTACTGTGTGTTAGAATCTAAAGAGTTTTGTGATATTCTGAGTATCAGCTTTTCTAGACTTACTTCCTCTGCAAAATATCCCATTGTTCCTATTAACCCAAGGCAGAATAATCCCAAATGATGAATTCTGTTCTAAATTTCTGAAATTCTGCAGTACCTTTTTCTCCATGGCTTGATTTTTGTTTCATTCTAGCATTTTTCAAAGATGTCAAACATAGACATTTGACCTAGAAAAGTAAGTAACGGTCATATCAGAGGAGAATTTAACATATATTCAACATGCAATCATATTCACTAGGGAGGCAACTGGGCCCCCTTGTTGGGATGGAAATTATCTAGAGCTCCATCCCTGATGCAGCTGACATATAATCATACTATTTGCTTAGCAGGAACAATATCAGCCTTCAGCAAATGAGGAAAGTTGCTGAAGACTTTCCAGGATTTGAGCTTAAAATTAACAGCTTGAGTCATGGTTCTTATTTTCCTAAAACTTAGGCAGGCAATGGATCTTGTTTGTGTAGATGTGAGCATAAATAGTCAATGGAATTAACAAATTCCACGCTTTACAGAGAGAGTGTACCTATGGCCAGCATTTCAAGAAGCTATGGAATCCAGAAACGGGCACTGGGACCCCAGGCAGTGTGGAGATAATTAATGACTCTCTAGATATGTCCCTTTGCATGTAAGAGGCCGAGTCCAATGTGTCACTTCTCACCTCATGTTTCCGAAGGGTTGGAAGTGGCAGAAGAATGTTGCAATGGGCACAGGTCACCAGCATGTCAAAAGACTGAGTGTCTTTAAGGTCTTGAGGTGATGTGGAAAGTCCTCCTCTTGTGGGAGAGGGAAAGCCAATCTTTTTGTTCTTTGGGGGTTTAAGCAAGGTTTTGGAGGTCAATGGCTGGTCCCCTTCTTTCCCTTTGGGACGGACATCTTTCCATGCCTTTGCATTCTCGGAGCAAGAAGAGGGAGCCAGGGAAGAAGATGACGGTGGTGGATCACTGCTGAGTTTTGAAGTTGACTGGCCAGCAAGAACTTTTGTCAGCTTATGGGCTGCACTGCATTTATTCTGTTAAAAGACAGTATGCACAATGAGGTGCAGATTGGCATTACACCCACCTATGTGCTATGTTGTGATTTGTGACAGATGTCTGTCATGGGGAGAGACAGTGGACACCACCTGACAGTGATGCTTCAGCTGAATACATTGTATCATGAAACTATACTTTGAAGAGCCAAGACACGTTTCCCTTTCTTAGCTAATACATAGCTTTTCACAGAAATAACCTGGCTGGAAATTAAGCACAGACCATTGTCTTCTTCAGTTTCAAATGTGCTTACCAGATGTTGGGAGTATTGGTCATCTGGGAATGACTCATTGCACTGCCGACAAAGATTGCCACCAGTACCTTCAGAAAGAAAAAAAAAGGAGAGAAGCACAGTACTGACAGTAGGCATCTAGACAGGCTGCTCAGATCCAGTTATGGTCACTGGTTCTAGAGAAACAAAGAATGCTGATTCCACTGGCCAAGAAGGAATTAGAGCTGTGACTACATTTTGCTATTGGCACCACTCAAAAGCAATCCACCATCCCTTCTCACAAACTTCAGGATATTTGAAATTCCACTCCAGCCCCCACAGGTTTTGCTCTTTATAGTTTATTTTGCCAACCACTGCACCTACTGATGCCTGCCTTTTTCTGGAATCATGGACAGGATTCATGACTTTTTTGTCTTGACATACTCTGTTCAATATCTCAGGCCTAATAAAGCTCTCAACTTCAAGAAATCAAGGTATGCATCACTGGCTTTATACATGAAGTAGGAGGAAATTCTAAATTGTATTTTCTCTTGTGCAACAAGTAGAAAGAGGAAGAAGTTCTACTTCTTTTCTGACAGAAGGAACTTCACTTCCAGGATATAAGTGAGGCATAAAAGAACATGGCCAATGAGCTACCAGTCAGTGGAACCACTCTGGCTTTACAATAACCAGCATAATAGGAAGCAACACTTGGCCCTTTCACTGAGGTTGGTTAAACAACAATCCTCTCCAGCCTGGATTACTGAGAATTGTAGAGAAGGTAGGAGAATTTTCATTGAGATTTAACAGAGTTGACCCAGTCCATGACAATGAGGAATTTTGCTTACCAGTGGGGCAAATAAATGTTGCATTAGTGACTGCTTCACTGGTTTGAAAGTTCACATCCTTATGGTAGGACAGACCACTGTTCTGACAAATATCTTTGTGTTTGTTCTGGTCTTTGTACATGATGTATTTGTTACACTCCCAACACCACTCTGTTCGGCTGGCACAGGTGTTCAGGTGTTCCTGCAGCTTGTTGAAGGGCATTTCAAGCTCACAGATCTTGCATTTCATTGCTCGTTTGTGGCATTCCTTGGTCTGCACATGAATAGAGGAAATGATTGCAAATTTTCTGTCAATACTAAAAGAGGTCATTGGGTGAGAGCAATGAGTGACTGTTTAAGAATGCCCTCCTTAACAGGTATCTACACAATCAAATGCAGGCTTAGCTGTATTAGGAGTTCACCCATCTAGCCTATCTTTAATTTAGGATGATTTAGACAATATAAAGCAAAATGGGAATCAATAGCAGTGAAGATGTCCTGTGTCAGTACAGGTTAGCAACAGAGCACAAGCCTACCTAGAAAATTCCAATACTTCAGCTACTGCCATCAGGAGAAGCCTGCTGTGTCTTCACTGCTTTGGTTCCTTGAAATAGACTACATCTAGCATGGACAGGCTGCTCTCACTTCCTAGCCTCTGCCAATTCTTTTGTGTATCTCATCCTTAGCTGTTTCCTTGACTCTCACTTTGTATAATCACACCTTTGGAAAAGCAGGTAATACGAGTGTGGGGGCAGGATGGAATTGTCTTTGAGAAGCCCTCAAAAAACATCAGATTGAGGTGCCAAGGATGAGAAAGTAATAGATTATCTCCTGGAACAGACTGTCCCATCACAACTGGATGGGCAACCACCGTATGATATATTTATTTACAAGGGGAAAAAGTTATGCCAAAACACTGCAACTGTTGAGAGGTTTAAGTTTCTTCACAGTCCAGGACAGGAGTCAGGGATTTACATGTTTTTGCTGTTGAACCCGTTAGTGTGATTCTTGGTAGCTGGCCAAAGGAGTCAGCCTAAAAGGTAAAAAGTACTGCACTCCATACTTACCTCATGATGCTCCAACTGGTATTGCTGCATGCTTTGGTGACAAAGATTACATCTGACCTGCAATCAAAACATATAGCAGTTCATTGAGAGCATAGGAGGATGGTTAGTGCTTTCATATGCCAATACAAGTTCAAGTTGCTGAGATGATCTTCCTGTCATTTTCACCCCAATCATCGACAAGCTGTTGGTGAATTTTTGTTTCTTTGTCAGGCCTGAGCTGTGTTGAGATTTTGAGGAAAACAGATATCTGATGATTGTGCAGGAAGCTGTCATCCTGTGCAAGGAAAGGTGCCCATGTGAAATGCAAAGTGTGATGTGAAATAAAGAGTGTGCAATCAAAATTTTGACTGAGGTTTAACTTAAAAGTATAGTTCTGATATCTAGCTAGTCTTAATTATAATAGCCTCTCTGAAAACATGGGAGGTATGCTAGTTTTCTGTAGGTTTGCCACAAGAGCTACTCGTGTTCTGTTAAGTAACTGAAATCAATGGAATTGCTAAAACAATAAAACTAGTAAGACAGAATAAAAATTCATGCCTGGGTATTCATGTTTCAACATAGTACATAGCTACAGAGTTCTTAATGCTATACCAAAAAAGCTATCGCCTCACTATATGAAGAGCTGATAAATTTACTCTGCCAGTTCAGTTCTGTTAAAAAAGTGCATTGATATCATAGCTTTGTACAAGCAAGGTTTATATCTGATCAGGTACTGTCTGTCTTCCTCTAATCAAATAAATTTAACTTGCAGGCTCTGGCTAACTCACAAGCACTAGGAGCATGTATCTGTACCTGATCTGTAATCTGTATTGCTGAGGACACTGAAATGCCACAGTAGGAGCTTTATTCTCTTAAGCTGAGTGTGCAGTAAGATCAAAAGGTGCTGTAACCAGGCCTGAAGAGTCATATCAGACCCTTACAGATTTTCTGGTCAAACAATTACAGAAGTTCAAATCTAGTTAATATAGAGCACAGTACCATGAACATAACACTTCAGGGCTGGCAGAGCTTTTTGCTATTTGCAAGAAAACCCTGAAGAACATGTAGCATTCCTCACCTGCTTGTGTGCTTCTGTTTGATGGTCTTTCATATCCTTTTGGGCAACTGGTTCATCACATTCTGGACAGAGAGTGAGAAATCGCAAGCAGTGGGCCTCATGGAGGGAGAAATTGGCAGCAGACACATCTCGTTTGCTACCAAGCACATAAATGAGAATGAGAGAAGAGTAAATGAACTGGTGTGGTGGGATGACCCTGGTCAGCAGCCAAGCACCCACACAGCCGCTCACTCACCACCATCTCACCACACACACAGTGGGACAGGAGGGAAATAGGAAGAACAGAAGTGAGAAAATCTGTAGGTTGAGAGAAGGACAGTTAATACTTGAAGGAAGGCGGGCGGGAAACAAGTGAAGAAAATGACACCACTCACCACCTCCCACAGGCATACTTATGCCCAACCAGTCTTTGAACAATAGCCATCTTGGAAGCGAAAAAAACCCGCAATAACCCAACCTTGTTCTACTTCCTCTAATGCAGTTTTTATTCCTGAAAAGGTTATACCGTATGGAATATCTCTTTGGTCAGTTTGGGTCAGCTGTCCCAGCTGTGTCGCCTCCCAGACTCCTGCTCACCCCTAGCTTACTCACTGTGGGGGGCAGAGTGGGGAAAAAGAGAAGACCTTGACACTGTGCAAGCACTGTTCAGCAAAAGCCAAAACACTGGTGTGTTATCAACAGCGGTTTAGCCACAAATACAAACCACAGCACTGTAGGGGCTGCTATGAAGAAAATTAACTCCATCCCAGCCAGACCCAGTACAACTGGTTACAATTCAACTGGTTTGTCCCTAAAACCTAGAAGTAAGTATTTGTCTTTCCGATTCATCTTAATGAGACTTTTAGAGACTGGATTCTGTTACTCATTCTGTTCTGCCATATTACCAGGAAAACTTCTGAAAGGGACAGGACAGCTGCTAGAGGCTCCTGGTCTATTTGTCCAATAATTGTTTAAGAAAAAGTTCTGGCTGTTGTTTACATTGTTTACAGATGTGGAAAGAAAAGAAGGGCCCCTCTTCTGGGTGTCATCTAAGCCATCAAAAAATTTACAGCTCTCTGGCTCCCAGCAGGTCAATTTAAGGTAGCCGAGCCAAGCAGCTGCTCTGTTCAGATGAAGGTTACCTCTGAGCTGAGATACACAAATGTCACCATGCTCAGTTGGTCCAGGACGAGCCACTTAAGTTTATCTGGGAAATCACTTATTTGATTTTAATAATTGATGTGTTCACAACATTAGTGACAAGAATTGAGATATAGTTCAACAGGCCTTGAGTAAGACGTCCTGAAGAAGCTTCCGGGTGCAAACCTTAAGCAGTGTAAAACTTCCATTGCTCCCTTTGAAACATCTTCGGGATGACTGACGTGCACACCAGCTGATTTTCTGACTTCCTCTGCCAGTGGGGCCTGGGACTCTGATTCTATGGAACCCGTCTTAGGACGTCTGCCTCACTGCCCTCACTTCAGGCTCAGAGACATTAGAGTGCCAGGCAACTGGAGGTGAGGTGTATCTCTGTCATTTCAAAGCCTTCACTGCAGTGGGCCCAGGACCCTGCAGCAGGAGGTACTGATGCCTGACACAAGAGAGTGATGGTCCTTGGGACACGGCAGCTGGAGGTAAGCCCGTGCAACCTTTCTGGCCTACAAGAGTAGGAAGAATGCCTGAAAGGGCATGTACACTTCCAGCTCTGCTACTTCGAGGAGATGTGCGAGGCGGAATACCTGATGCCATTTGGGCTTTCTGCACTAGTCTTTGTTCCAAACTCTGACATCATGTCTAGGCTGCAGAACCAGTCTGCCCAACATATTTGCTGGTCACTCAATGTGGAGGGAATGGCCAGGATGACGCCACATAAATTACAAACAGCCCAGCCCCAAGACAGAGCAGCCACAGCAAAAAAGCCCTGGCGTAGTGAACTCTTCTAATTTTCTTAGAGAAGGTAAGATGCCTCAAGGAAACCTGCTTTAGACATGAGGAGAAGCTTCTCATGATCATGATGGATACACAATGGAATGGATTTCCTGTGGGAATGTGTCATCTCTGTCACCAGAGTTCTTAAGAATTAGTTAGAGACATCTATCAGAAGTTTTAGGCAAAGCAGATCTGCCAAGGCATCTGATCAGTGTGCATCAACTGCTTTATTCAAAGCATCCCCTACAACCTTTTAGAACATAATGCACAAGCTCTCTTTCTGCAAGGCTAAGCATCAGTTTTCTTTTGTCACCAAATATAAAATTGAGGCTAAGTTCATATTTAACCATTCTAAGTTTGACTCTTTTTTTTTTTTAAATTGCAGTGCTTCACAGTCTTCGTTCATATAATCTGTGCAATGGCCTAGCTACTAGTTGAGACACACCAAACTACACTATCCTCATGGCCCCCTTCAGCCTTCTGTTCTATGAGAGATGGCCGATTACCCTGAAAAAAATGAGTATTTTATCACTTAACTGCAAATATAGCAACAGAAAGAAACATCAGCCATGGGGGAAAACTGAGGCAGCTGCTGGGTTTGGCACAGGCCATGCACTGACTGCTCTGCCAGATACTGCAAAATTACCCACAGTGATATTATGTAAAAAGAGAACATGCAGCATGGGAGAGGGTTATGGGAGAAACCTCTCCACAGCAAAGCAGCAAGAAAGCAGCAACCTGGAAATGTGAAAATGCATGCAAAATATTTTTGTTTACTACTTAATGGCTAGCACACACCTCTCCTGCCGTGTGGTTCTTCCCTTTCTCCCACCACCCGACCCCGTTCCAGGAGACCTAGGTAACATTAAGGAAAATCCTAGAAAACTCTTGAAATCTCCACGCTTTGTAAGGGTGACGAGGGGAGAAAGATCTCTTACCAATTTTTGCAGAATTTGCTCGCTTCTGACATTATTTTTCTTTTTATTCTGCTGAATATCCTTTCTTCTAAGAGCAGAGAGGGCGGGAAAAAAAAAAAAAACGAAACTGAAAGCTTCTGTTGCAATAACTCCACCCCAAACAGCTGCTCAGCCAAGAATTCTTTAAAGGAGAAACAGCAGCATTGCCAGACAAGTATTGGTTTTCAGTGTGAGTTCCACATTGTGCTGGTTTTGGCTGGGGTAGAGTTAATTTTCTTCGTAGTACATAGTTGTTTTGGATTTGTGCTGAAAACAGTGTTGATAATGCAGGGATGTTTTAGTTACTGCTGAGCAGTGCTTACACAGCATCAAGGGCTGCTCTGCTTCTCACCCCACCCCACCAGCGAGTCGACTCAGGGTGCACAAGAAGTTGGAGGGGACACAGCTGGGACAGCTGACCCCAACTGACCAAAGGGATATTCCATACCATATGATCTCATGCTCAGCATATAAACTAGGGCAAAATTTGGCCAGGGGCTGCGGCTGGGGGACTGGCTAGGCATCAGTCGGTTGGTGGTGAGCAATTG